TAAGCAAGGACCTTATAGTCTATACTTTGTATCTGTTTATTGACAAATATTTACAACAAAGTCAAAGTCAGTGAATCTGTTCTGAGTAACTGGTATTTGAATTTGAGAAAATTAGTGATAGATAAGTATTTAGTTAGTACCAATGAGAAAGTAGATTGACTGTACATTTTATATGATGCACCATAATACACTCCAGGGGGCAGGTCTAGGACTATGTACACATCTCTGTAAGGCCACCATTCTCTTCAAGAAGGAGTATTGTCTTTGATAACATTGCTCACGCATGGTGTAGTGACAATGGTTGAGTGTTTAGAATATACTTGGCATTTTATGTTACCTTGGTTAATCGTCCCAACAACCCCGGAAGGTAGATAAATATTATTTCCTTCTTTTACAGTTGAGGAATTTGAGCCTAAATTTCTAATTTACTGAAGTTAGTAAATCACTGAAGTCTCTGCCTAAACTTACAAAGCTAGCAAGTGATAGAGCCAGGATGGGATTTAATTCCCTGAGGTTTATCCTATTCTGCTTTAAATTATAAAGCCAGTAAATCACTAGCAAACACATGTTCACCATTTATTGGCAACAGATTGCCTGCTACACACCTGCAGTGGACTGGGGACACCAGAGTGTTGTGCCTGGGTGCTTTCCACCCTCAGTGTTCCCAGACCCCTGTGTATTCTAGGGAAATCAGGACCACCCAGTGCGAAGGGAAGCTGACATCTGGTGCAGTCACTTCATAGAAAAAAGACCACCTCCATGAGGAGCCTAGGACAAAGAGGGAGACAGGTGTCAAGTCTTAGGGAAGGGCTGGCAGGCAAGGAACCCTTGGGGATATCTGCTAACAGGGGTGTGGTGGCATCCATCAGTACAAGAGCTGTGACAGGTGTGCCCTCGTTTCTGTGCCAGCCTTCAAACTCAGCAAGCTCTTGGAGTCTTTGTTCTTCTTTTTCCTTAGGTCTGCATTGTTCTTGCCCCAGATTTTTCAACTCACTTCTTTCTTTGCTCAACTGACTGCTCAACTATTTTCTCCTTAGAGGAAACTTCTTTTGCCACCCTATCTTAAGTGTCACGTCTGTCACTATCACTTCATTCCTACTTTATTTTTCCCCATAGCAAAGATCATTATCAGGTGTTACAGCATCAGTTCTCAATCTTTTTTGATCTTAGGATCTCTGCACTTGCTTAAATATTAAGGACCCAAAGAATGTACAGTTATGTGGGCTATACCATTTGAAATTTGCTATATCAGAAATGAAAACAAATTATAAAAATTGTTCAATTAAAACAAGCAATAGCTGGGTGCGGTGGTGCATGCGTGTAATCCCAGAGGCTCAGGAGGCTGAGGTAGGGGGATGGTGAGTTCAAAGCCAGCCTCAGCAACTTAGCAAGCCCCTAAGCAACTCATCAAGATCTTGTCTCTAAATAAAATATAGAAAAGGGCTGAGGATGAGGCTCAGTGGTGGAGTGCCCCTGAGTTCAATCCCTGGTACCAAAAACAAAAACAAAAACAACGACTAAAAACCCCAGCAATAATAAACCCATCATATATATGTATATATATAATCCCTGTATTTTTCCAAACAAAATGACTGAGAAGAGTAGTATCATTTTTGTACTTTTTGTACCTTTTCTGTTCATGGAAGATAGATTGTTACGCTGTTTCCTGCCATTCAGTCTATCGCAATATATTGCTCTGATAGAAGATGATGTAGACAATCTGTCCTTACATAGATCTGTAGTTTCCCTTTTTATGGAAAAGGGACAGCTGTTTTAATAAAATTTTTATATATAGACAACCCCAATGTAGAGGGTTTGTGATTTTTCAGCTTTATGGTGGTATAAAATGTACCCACACAATCGTTCTGTTGTTCAATTTCAGCACAGTATTTAATAAATTACATGAGCATAAATGATAACAATTATAAATAGACTTTGTGTTAGATGATTTTTTTTTCCCACCAAAGGCTAGTGTAAGTGATCTGAGCACATTTAAATTAGACAAAGTTGGGCTGGAGTTGTGGCTTAGTGGCAGAGTGCTTGTCTAGCATGTGCAAGTCATTGGGTTCGATTCTCAGAACCTCACGTAAATAAGTAAATAAAATAAAGGTCCATGAACAACTAATAAAAAAGGTAAGGATATTTAAAAAAATTTAGATAAAGTTAAGCTATGATGTTAAGTAGGTTAGGCATATTGTTTTTTGTTAGAGCATTATATTTATACATAGTAGTTGGATGCCTTTTGACAAAATCATTCATGTATGGAATTTGATTTCAGTCTCCATTCCCTCTGTTGTCTTTCTCCTCCTCCCTTCCACATTTTCCTCCCCCTTTTCAACTGATCTTCCTTTCACTCATTTATTTATTTATTTTTGATTGGTACTTTCTACATATACATAGAGGTGAACTTCTCTGTGCATATTTATATATGCACATTGCATGATTCTGTTAAATTCATCTTGCATTTCCTTCCCTTTCCTTCCCTCTCAATCTCCATCTACTCTACTGATCATTCCTATATCTTTATGATATCTGACCCCACTGCCTGCCCACCTTCTTTCTCTCAATCTGCTCTAGTTTCCACCTATGAGAGAAAACATTCAACTGTTGATTTTCTGATTCTGGCTTATTTCACTTAGCGTGATGTTCTCCATTTCCATTCATTTACTGTCAAATGACATACTTTCATTCTTCTTTATGATTCAGTAAAACTCCATTGTGTATGTAGACCACATTTTTTTTATCTGTTTATCTATTGATGGGCATCTGAGCTGATACCACAATTTGGCTATTGTGAATTGTGCTGTTATAAAATTGAAGTGGCTGTGTCGTGATAGTATGTTGATTTTAGTTCTTTTGGATAAATACTAAGGAGTAGGATAGTTGGGTCACACAGTGGTTCCATTTCTAGTTTTTTGAGGAATGTCCGTATTGCTTTTCAGAGTGGCTGTACTAATTTGTAGTCTTACCAACAATGTAGGAGTGTGCCTTTCCTCCCAACATCCTCACCAGCATTTATTATTATTTGTGTTCTTGATAATTGCCATTCTGACTAAAGCAAGATGAAATCTTTTTAAATTTTTATTTATTTTATTATTATTAGAGCTTTATAGTTATACATAGTAGTTGGGTTCATTCTGATGAAATCTCAGTGTAGTTTTGATTTGCATTGCTGTGATTGCTAGAGATATTGAACATTTTTTTTCATATATTTGTTGGCTATTCGTGTTTCTTTTTTTAAGAAGTATCTATTTAGTTCTTTTGCTCATTTATTGACTGGATTATTCAGTTTTTTGGTGTTGGTTCTGGATATTAATCCCCTGTCAGAGGAGCAGGTGACAAAGATTTTTTCCCCTTCTATAGGTTCTCTTCATGATCTTAATCATTTCCTTTGCTATGCAGAAAAAGCTTTTTAATTTGATGGCATCCTACTTAAGCTTTATTTCTTAAGCTTCAGGATTCTTTGTTAAGGAGTTGATACTTGCACTTGTATGATGGAGTGTTGATCCCAGGATTTCTTCAAGCAGTTGCAAGGTTTCTGGTGTAATGTCTTTGATCCATTTTGATTTGACTTTTGTGTAGGGTGAGAGGTAGGGATCTAGTTTCATTCTTCTATGTATGAATATCCAGTTTTCCCAGCACCGTTTGTTAAAAAAGCTGTCTCTTCTCCAACATATATTTTAGTATGTGGGTTTGTCTCTGTGTCTTCTGTTCAATTCTGTTGGTCTTCAGGTCTATTTTGATGCTGATACCATCCTGCTTTTTTAAATTATCATACCTTTGCAGCATAATTTGAGATCTGGTATTGTGATGCCTCCTGCATCCTTCTTCTTGCTCAGGACTGCTTTGGCTAGTTTGGATCTCTTATTCTTCCACATGATTTATTTTTTTACAGTGGTGTAAAATGTTACCCATACAACCATTCTGTTTTTCACTTTCAGTACAGTGTTTAATAAATTACATGTGCCTTAATGATATCAATTAGACTATGTGCTAGATTAATTTATCTCACCAAAGGCTAATGTAAATGATCTGAGCACATTTAAGGTAGGCAAAGTTAAGCTATGATGTTCAGTAGGTTAGGTGTATTAAATGCATTTTCATCTTGTAGGTTTATCAGGTGGGTAACCCCATTTATATAAATTGAGGAACTTATATAATTGTGGACATTCAATTTAAAAAAAATTTTAGTTGTAGATAGACACAATACCTTTATTTTTATTTATTTTTTTATTTTTGTGGTGCTGGGGATTGAACTCAAGGCCCTGTGCATGTGAGGCACGCACTCTACCAACTGAGCTATATCCCCAGCCCCAGTACCTTTATTTTATTTATTTATTTTTATTGGTGCTGAGGATTGAACCCAGTGCCTCACATGTGCTAGGCAAGTGCTCTACCAATGAGCCACAACCCTAGCCCTCAATTTTGATATTATATTTAAATTCAACAAGTGGTTGTTTCTTAAGGGTTAGTTGCTTTATCCTGGGTGTCCTTCTGTGAGCCTCTCCCAAGCAGTAAGGGCCATTTTAAATGGAAATTTGAGCACTGTCTTTTGAGATTATTGTTTACACAAAGTAGAATAAGAAACACCAAACTTAAATTTCATTATACTGTTAAATAACATTTTACAAAAGAAAGCTGTCTATCTTCAAAGATGACAAATATCACCTTCTCCTGTGCACATGAATTTTTTTCCTTGATAGAGCCATAGCTCATATTATTGTTCCTCTTTTTAGGAAGTGAAAATTTGAGTTAATGGTTTCTGACATACTGCCTTGATAAATATATGTTAAAATATTTTCTGTTGGAATGCTTTTATTCATCTTTTCAAATCCAGTTTAGGTTCATTACCTTACTTGAGTGAGTAAACTGCCTTTCAGAAACATTCTTATAGTTAAACTTTCAAATCAACAGATATGTCCAATAAATTAGGCAGCCACTTTTCTTGTTTACAATGTTTCAATGTCACTAATCCATAATTTTGTGTTTATCTCTTTAAGATACACACAGGTTTACAGCACCAAATAATCTGGCCTTGTCAGCCCAGCTGTGTTCCACTGGATGAAAAACTCCTGCCCCAGCTTCTAAAAGAAGCAGGCTATACCACCCATATGGTCGGAAAATGGCACCTGGGAATGTACCGGAAAGAATGCCTTCCAACCCGCCGAGGATTTGACACTTACTTTGGTAATGGAAATGCCTGTGTTTCTTTAACGACTCAGACACTGCAGTCATCTCATAAAACACACCCAAGTGTAATCAATTGAAACAACTGGAAACTTGAACACAGAGTGAATCAGTGCAGTGGGGCTGCTTTCTGATGTTACTTCCATAAACAGGGCTCTGTGCCAGCCTGTGTTGGGCATATGCCCATAGCAGGCCAGAGCACTAAGCACCACCTTGGGGCTTTGGAAGAATTGCTACCTACACACCAGAGACCACTGTGCCCTCTGAGAACCTTCCCCAGAGGGGATGCAGGCTGATTTTAAATTATGGGCAAAAACCAAATACAAGAATATTTCCCTTTTCTCTGATAAGCAGATGCTGATCCATAATATGGGGAGGGGTTAGGGAAGAATGGAGGAGCTTTGGATTGGGCAGAGGAGAGGGGAGGGGATATATGTGGTGGGGAAGGACTGTGGAATGAGATGGACATTCTTACCCTCTATACGCTTATGATTACACTACTAGTGTGACTCTGCACCATGTACAGACAGAGGAAGAAGAAGTTGTGCTCCATTTGTGTAGAATGTGTCAAAATGCATCCTACTTTCATGTATAACTAATTAGAGCAAATTAAAGAAAAAGAATATTTCCTTTACAAAAGTTCATGTATTTTTTCTCTCCCTGGACTACATTCAAGCTTTTTTTTCTCACCCTGGAGAGGGTGGGGGAAGACTCTTCCATTGGTGTCTCTCTCCCATCTGTGAGATCTGTTTTTAGAATCACTAGGTTTAGAGAAGATCAACTTAAAAATCAATAATAATAAATTGGGGAGGACAAATAAAAAATGGTAATAGGAAGATAATAAGAAAATCATAAGCATTTTTTGAACTTGGTAGCCCTATAAAAATAAATGTGAAACCTAAAGTTTGTTTTAAAATGTGCCCTCTTTCAACCTGTTTTAAACTGGGCCTTAATTAATAACCTATATATCTTGCCAGTAACTGTATTTTTCTGTCAAGTTCTTTTATATTGAGCTATCTTTCTGTCTAGTTGTGTTGCTGTCTACCTGTCTCCCATCTGCTTCTTTGTTCATTTACAACCTGCCAAAGCCAAAAAAGGAACACACACCAAACATAAAAAGTTTCAATAGAGTAACAACATCGAGTGAAGAGAAAAAGATAAAATAGTTTAATGGCATCAGATTACAAAAAAAAGCTTCCTGGCTCTAGGTGGGCTTCACATTCATCTCTAAGATGTGAGGCTTCTTATGTCCAAAGTAAAAAAGAAAAAAGTGGAAAGGAAGGGAAGAAAAGAAAAAATCTATAAGAGTCACATTATTCATAAGATAAATGGAAACAAGATCTTCAGGAAGAATAAAGCATTTTCTGTCTTTTAGACCTGAGAGAAGTTTCTCCTTTGGGACAGGTAAAATGGACAACATCCTTAAAAATATCATTTTAGTAATAAAGTAATAAATTGCTTATAGATACACCTTGAGATGTTCTCTTCCATTCAAGCTAGGGCCAAAGTACAAAAATACAATTTGGTACAAAGGAATGTACATGGAGGCCAAAACAGTGTAGTCATAGCACATGCTTTGCTGGTTCTCAGGTTAAAAATCAGACAGGAGAGCACTTGTACCCACTCCCACCAGGTGCTCCAGCAGACAGTATTAATCACCTATGATGTTCTTTTTGGATGAACTTGAATATATCTTCAGTACTCTTAAATAGCTGCCAAAAATCAGACTTGAGTATATGACCACTTTGCTATCTTAGAAGTTCTAAAGGACCAAACTGCTAGTACATTCTTAGATGAGTTGATGTGTATGCTTTGGCAAGAGGATGGACTGTGGATATTTTGAAATTTTTTTTTATTAAAAACAAAGTCATGCATTTAAAAATTCAGTTGGACAAAAAATTGTCTTATGAAAACAAAGAAGTCTGCCTAGATTTAGCCGAACAGTTGAACACCCTATAATTATGTGAAGGGAGGCTTGTAGTCAAGAAAAGGATGATGACCACACAGCTGTTACTACTGCTACAACTTGAAAAGTAGAAAGGTAATTGGGGGATGGTTGTACAACCCTGGGAATACACTAAAGAGCAAAGAATTGTATTCTTTAAATGGGTGACTTATACAATAATGAATTGTGTGTCTCAATAAAGATGTGAGATTTTTATTGATTAGTTGTTCAAAAAGCATTTTCCAAATTTTCCCAGAAAAACATAGGCTGCCATCATCTTTAGGCTCAGCATCTGAGTTCAGATTTGGGAACTGCTGTTATGATGAAAAGCACTGTGTGATAGTCACGTGATTGCCTGATTTCAGTGTGGCCAACCATGTGAATAGAAGGTTCTGTTTCTGGAATTTCCTTATTTGTAATATGATTTCAATATTTATAACTCATACATCATCTAATCATACATCATCTAATCATATACTATGCATATATTCTCCCAGTGATGGAAAAATAGTTTACACTTATAGAAAAAGGAATGGAAGTGATTTCCTCAAACTAATATCCACTAGTTGTGAAAAACCCAAACTAGAAGTCCAGTTTCTTATAACCCAGAAAGGTCCAGTTCTGCTACCACATGATGAAGATGATAGCTTGAGAGAGACAGTGACTGGGGAAGAAAGTCAGCAGGTTGAAGAGGAGAATTTGTCCTAAAAGTCCATCTTGCTTATGTGGTTCAGATACAAAGCTTATGTAAGGATTTTGGGATGTCGGGGTGGATTTTAGACTCAGGCCCAGACCAGGGTTATAAATTTTGAGGGGTCAGCTTTTCTGACACACATGCTAAAGTTATCTGAGGGTCACCAATTCTGGGTTCTGTAACTCTGTAAGAAGAGTTACTAATTAAAAAGTTTCCTTTTTCAGGAACAGCTAACCTTGCAGTTGTTTATTAAGACAGATCAAGGAAGAAAGCAAAAGGCAACTTCTGCCCGAGAACAGTCTTAGCCCATTAGGTGGCTTCCATCAAAGTTTTCAGCTACAGCACAGCTAGTGCACCACTAATAATATATTGCTCAGCTGTCTGACCTCCAACAATTAGGGGTTTTTAAATCAACTAAAAGCAAGGGAAGCTAGAATGTTTATTTAGATTTTCCTCAGTTTCATCCTGACCACTATTTTTGTTTGTTTGTGTTTTTTTGTTGTTGTTGTTGTTGTTGTTTGTGTTTTGGTACGAGGGATTGAACTCAGGGGCATTTGACCACTGAGCCACATCCCCAGGCCTATTTTGTATTTTATTTAGAGATAGGGTCTCACTGAGTTGCTTAGTGCCTCAGTTTTTGCTGAGGCTGGCTTTGAACTCGTGAGCCTCCTCTCTCAGCCTCCTAAGCTGCTGGAATTACAGGCGTGTGCCTCTGCTTCAGGCTTAGGGCTGAAATTATTTTCATGGCTACATTTCCTTTTCTGTTGCACATTAATTAGCAAACATATTGGATTTCCTTTTCCGTTATATATGCAAGAGGAAAGATTAGCATATTAAAAAATTACCTTAAGACCAAGGTTTTAATTATATTCAGGACCTTGAATTTACTAGATCATGATAAAGAAGGAATTAATTAAAAATGAATTGATTTATTATGTAAACTGGGTAAGGCTCTTAATTGTCATTGTAGAGAAAGTTCAGGTCTTGGGGAAAGGGCTGGGCCAATTTTGTCGTCATCATTTTAAAGTTAATAAGCAATATATATCAGCAGATAGCTAACAGCCCAGTAGTTTCTTTTTAATAGCTTTATCAAGGTGTAATTCATGTGTCATAGTGTTTATCCAATTAAAGTGTATAATTCAGTGATTTTTAATAAATGTACAAGGTTACCCCACTAGCATAACAATTCAATTGTAGAACATTTTCACTACCCCAAAAAAGAAACCAAACAGCGTTAATCATCGCTCCCCATGTCCCCCAGTCCCTGCAGCCCCAGGCAAGCATTTATCTTCTGTTACTATAGATCTGCCTGTTCTGACATTTATGTACATAGAATCATAATAGGCAGCACAGTTTATTACTTTAGGAAAATACAGAACTTTTGCGGAAACAACTGTTAGCTGAGAAAATTCATTTTCTTTTACCTTTAAGTTTAAATTGTGGGATAGGCAATTAATGCTGCTTAAATTGGGAGCAAAATTGAGATCACTGTAGGTAGAAAAATCAAAGTGCAGTGCTCACACTTCAGTTTGGTCTTTTGGCACTGATAGTTCAGCTGTGTAGAGGGCCTCTCTTTGGAAAGGTTTGTATCTTTCACCAGTGGGTGTCAGCATCTGACTGAAGATGACTCCTCCTAGAGAGCAGGGGCTATAAATAACCCGGAAGCCAGCTTCCCATCCTCAGGAACAACAGATGACATTATTTGAATCCTGCGCTTATTTATATGATCTCCTTGCAAGAAAAACTTGCAACAAGTCATATTAACCATATATTATTTTTGCCACTAGATAGCTTTAAAGGAGTAAGATCTTACCCCTTTTGCTGAAATTGAGCTCTGTTCTTTTAAAAACATAAATATGTAAATACATGAAATCACCCTCTTTGAGAGTTACATGATAGAGTCTGTGTTTGTAAAGACTTGAGTGAGAATGGATTTGAATTTTTACACAATAACATTTTAATGACTTCTGCTACCAAATATAGAGATGTTAAGGAATGTTGCTCTGATTAGCCTTGTCGTTTGATTAGCCTTGTCATGAGTAATCAATTGCATTAGGCAATTAAATGCTGAAACATGAGTTTAACAAGCTTTATGCTATGCAGACTATTCTTGTCTTCCATTCTTGTAGGATATCTCCTAGGCAGTGAAGATTACTACTCTCATGAGCGTTGTACCTTAATTGAGGCTTTGAATGTCACACGATGTGCTCTTGATTTTCGAGATGGTGAAGAAGTTGCAACAGGATATAAAAATATGTATTCAACCAATGTATTTACCCAGAGGGCTACAGCTCTTATAAATAACCATCCTCCAGAGAAGGTAAGTCTTGCTTCTTTACTGATACCAAAATCTTGTTAAAATAGGAAGAAGTCACTGTTGTTTAGGGGAAAATCTATCAAATTCTAAAAGGATTGTTTTCAAGTTTTAGAGCACATCAGAATCAGCCTTGGAAGCTTGTGAAAATTAGAGTCCTGGAGCCCACCTCTGAGGGTGTGACTTATTAGGTCTGGGAAAGGTCCATCTATCTGCACCTTAGAGAAACTCTCAAAAGGTGATTCTGGTGAGAGTGGTCCTTGGGTGGCACTTAGAAGAATATTGTGTCCTATAGCATTTTAGTAGAAATACATTTTATTATTTTGTTGTTTTATGTGCATGTGCTGTAAGTAATTAGACCCCTTTAAAAGTGGAAATCAGGTTATTTACGAGATGAGGCTTTATTATGGCAAACTTTCCATCAAGGAATCCACAAATTTTGGGTTCAGAGAAAGTCCTCCAACTTTCAATCACCCCTCCCCATCCTGCCCAGATCATTTTGACTATTCTAGGTTATTTTCTTCCTTTCTTTTTCTTTTTCTTTCTTTTTTTTTACATTTGCATGTTAATTTTAGAATCAATTGGTCAATTTCTACCAAGAAAGTAAAACAAGTGTCAGTTTTGATTTGGATTTCACTGATGCTATAGACCAACTTGTGGAAAACAGACATCTAAACAATACTGAGTCTTCCAATTCATCAACATGGTCTATAAAGAAGCCTGTTTTTCACATTCACCATACTAGAGCTGTTTTGTCTGTCATGTACTGACTTACATATAGGGAGAGGTAAAGGTAGACAAGAATCGGAATAGCTCTAAAGCCAAATTCTCTAGATTTAGCCTATAAGTGCTTTTGAATGGGACAGATACTTGTGTTCTCAGAAATGAGGCTCAAAAGATGGCTTCATGAAGAACTGTATTAGCACACTCACAAATCAGTCCTTTTGTGGGACCTGGACATAGCAAAGTCTAGAATATGCAATGTTATCTTGTTCTGATTTCCTGCACTTTGGCTCTTTGACAATGCCTGGGGGTCCCTGGTGCAGATCACAGCATGGATTATGGCTTACATACATGTCCAGACTTAATGCACTGCTGAAGACTCCCTTTTTGGTTTGGAATCTCCCTGGCCGTGCCTTTGCCTACTCTAACTCAGTATTGGGAATCTTCTACTCTGTTCTCAGTTTTGCCCCACTTCTTGGTTTTTATCAGCTTAATGCAGACATCTTGGAGTAACCATGCCTGCTATGGAACATAGAAACAAAAACATTTTCTCAAATATATAGAAATACACAGGTTTTAAATCTAAATTTAAACCAACATTCTGGTAGTTAAGGCTTATGTTCTCAGTTCTCTGCTGTATGCTTGGCATTTTGTAGATACAACTTAACACCAAAAGAACAAGGTAAAGTTTTAAGGGAACCATTTTATAACATATATTTAAACAAAATTACTTAGAGAAGTAACTTGGTCAAGATCACAGAACTTTTGAAAGACAGAATCAGAATTTAAATCCACAGTCTCTGACTTACAGAGCTTATCCCCTTAATAAACCTCCCCAGTTCACAGCTAATATCCAAGGCCAAGGGTTCTGAGTCCCAGTTCATGATTCAACTTAATTGTCCTAGTCCTGACCATAGAATTATCTGGGAAACTTGTAAGACATAGTGATGTCAAATATTGTGATTCATTGGTGTGAGGTGGTACCCAGGCATTGGTATTTTATTTACCACCACCTCCTCCCCCAACACACACACCTTCTGCCAGTGATTCAGATGTGCAGTCATTATAGATACCCTGTACAATGAGGGGCATTCTGTGATGTTCAGGGCTCTCCCCTCAAACAGAGGTGAGCAGAAGCCAACTATTTTAATTATGCAGCCACTGTAATCTTCCTACAAAAAAATTTCATTTCTATTAAGGAACGATGAAGTATTCTTTCACACAGTACCCTCAACATTAAGCAGATAAGAGGAAGAAGATGGGGTGAGATAGCTCTCTGGGTGAACTGTCTTAACTGGGGCAATGGGGAAAGCATTAGAACTGAGGACATCGGAAGGCCCTGAGAGCTTGCAAGTCCTGGAAGGGGTGTTGTTAGCATGGTGCTGTTCATAGACAGCATGATGGAAATCACCAGGTGAGAGGACGGTCCTTATCCTACAGCTGAAACATTCTGAAGAACTTTCCATCTTATCATTCCCAGTGTGTTCAAAGTTTCGAACACAAATATGAGTGAATGACATAATTAATAGTTGAGTAGTAACCCCAAAATATTTGCTTAAGACAGCCTGTGTTTACATTACCAGTTCTCAATAAAACAATGCATCTCACCATTTTCAGGAGCTGTGCTTTTCATCATCTTAATCAGTATTTAATTCTGTGCTAATTTCTCAGGTGCTGTTTATAGACTGTAACATAGGCCACTTGTTCAGGTTGGAAGTCATTAAAGAAACACAGGCCAACTTAAAACTGTGCCTATTTTAAAAGGGCACTTGAGGGGGGAAAGCATATGGAGTGTTTTGTACCAACACAGTTGCTGTTGCTGGACTCAGGGCCACCCTAACAGAGTGACTTTGCATGGGTTAGGAAGAACAATTCTTTCTCCTCTTCTGCATGATGATTCCACAGCAGTAACATTACAAAGTGAAAGTAGCATGTTCATAACATATCTTCCTGTTGAAAACGGTTCCCATGGGCTGGGGTTGTGGCTCAGCGGTAGAGCACTTGCCTCCTTGCCTCGCACGTGTGAGGCACTGGGTTCGATCCTCAGCACCACATAAAAATAAGCAAACAAAAGTATTGTGTCCTTCTACAACTAAAAAAAAGAAAGAAAAAAAAAGCAGTCCCCACAGTGCTTTGTGAATAACAACAGATGTTAGCCAACATATATCATCTACTAGAAGCTTTCTAAAAGAAAATGCTGTTTTCTAATGGAAGACTCTTACTTTATTCTGGCACAATTTGGAAAAGAATGTCTTCATTTGAACATTAAAGATAGAATAATAATGTCAACACCTCTCATATGTTTTTTCCCCATTTATACTTTGAGAAAATATATAAAGAAACGAAAATAAGGGTTTCTTCCTCACTGATATAAAGCTTCTTAGCACGGGGCAGGTATATTTAGAGTATGTGTCTTAAGGAGCTGTTTGGCATAATAGGAAAGGTCAGAGAACCCCTAGTGTCTTAAACATGAATATATTAATAGCCTTCGGTGATAATCCTGAACTTTTTTTATGTAATACTAAGTATTTAGTCATGATTTCGCATCTAGGATTATATTTTATATTCCCAAGACACCTACAATAGTCCAGTTATGACTAAGTTGATGAGAACAGGAATCCAGACCCAAGGGAAAGCAAAGGAGAGACGAGGCTCCAGCATAAACTCAGAGATCAGTGGAGGCTGACGTGCAGCCAGGGCTGCAGTTATGTCAGAGGGGCCATCCGGTCTCCAAGGCCAAGCAAGGGTGGGCTGGGATTCCAGTCCATAGACATAGTAATAAGGAGCCCATCCCCGGGATGGCAGCGATTTGTTTTGGGTCAACAGTGAGCTGAGGCTCAGCTACAGCTGAGCTACAGCTGGTTACAGGGAGGCTTGTGGGCCAAGTGACTATAGCAAGGTCCTGATGGTGGCTGGAGAACCTTGGAGCCCTAGTTAATTGTTCTTTATACTGGGCCACCATGTGGTAATAAAAGCGCTATATGTTTTTTTCCATTTTAAAAATAGTATAGAAATGCTTTCATTTAGTTCTGTTGAATAATGAGTTGTTTCATGAATAACATTCACTTGAGTGCTGAAAAGCTTTTTCCCCCCGTAGTATCTCAACTGTGTTTCTTCGTCCTAATTTTGTGAGATAGGCTGCTGTACTACACATTATTCTGTCTCCTCCCGGTGACCTAAAGCCATACAGATTTGTGTAAGACTGAGTGCCCACAGTAAATGGTAGACTGTTGCTGATGAAATGGGGGAAAAGATAATTATTTGTTCAAAGAATACATTTGTCTATTCTCCTAAGTTATTAGGATCTGGCCAGCAGGTAGTGCTTTGCATAGCCTTTGCATAGCCTGCCACAGTCACCTCCCCCTTCAGAGCTGGTTTTCACTCCTCTGTTATGTCCCTTCTGTTTGAATCAATAGAAATCTGACCACTGTATCAGTGGGGGCTGCTGTAGTTTTATATTTTTAGCCTCCCAAGAGAAAGGGTGATGTTTTTAGTCACTAAGGAATAATCATGGAAAAGGTTTTCAAGTTTCTTTTTTAAATGTGTTTAACAAAGTGAGTAGAACGATTTCCATGCTGAATATTTGCAAGACTCTTTAATAGTGACTCCAGAATCATTTTTTCCTTGTGTGGTTACAAGGGCTCTCCCTTCCATCCATCTCTGCATTACCTTTATAAATCCCTTGCTGGCTATGACAACATGCCCTCTTTCCACCTCCTCTCCTTTAGCCATGTTGCTGCTAGTGACCTGTGCAGGGGCAAAAAGTCTCCACCTCTATCCTATAGAGAGTCCCAGCTGGGTCCCAGAATTGAACTGACCTAAAAGAGAATAGTAGGAGGAAAGCATAGTATGGTTCAACATAATGAAGTGAAGGCCCCAAAGAAGTGGTGAGGCAGTTACATATATGCTAAATTGGACAAAAATCGTGAAATGGAAATGTGACTAAATTATGTGGGAGGTTTTAAAGATAAAGGTTATTTTAACAAGGTCTGTGCAGAATTCTTTCCATTTGGACTCCCCGTCCTTGAGGATAAGACTGTGGCCCTTCCTTCTAGTACAGGTGAGTGTCTTTACATTAGGAGTTTCCATTTCTGCTTTTAAGAAGCAGCATGAAGGTCAAAGTGATCTGGCACCTGCTGTTTTTTAAGTGCCTTTAACTTAAATCATTAAATGCCAGAATAGCATATTTTAACCCTTCACCTGATGGGTGAATCTTCTCCTTTCTCCCTCTCTCGTTCCTCCTCCACCCTGGGTCATAGACTTATGTTCGCGAGTGTTGGGGCTCAGGAAATGGTACCTGTAAGCGTTGCATTTGGCATGCTGAGTACTTTGAACTCAGGGACACTGGAAGATGACTCATCAACAAGGCCTTTCTGGCCTTCTCCTGTCCTCCTCTCCTGCTGCTCTTTCTCTATGTGGACATTCCTTACTCCATCACAGGGATGTATAATATATAATTTAAAATAACTTAACAATGAAGAATGAAATATGAGCTCCTCCCATCTGCTTTCTAACCGTTTCCCATTCATGTATGAGATTTAAATACCTCAGATACTTTAACAGAATTACATGTTTATTCTTGGCCTGAACCACTTGTCTCTTTGAGGGTTTCCAACTCATTGAAGAATTCGGTAGGAGCACAATAAAGGGAATACCTTTATTCTCCTTTTTAAAAGGAGAAACTGACCTGGAATACCACAGATGTTCAGTGCCCTAACTTGGCATCAAAGGTAAAAAAGAATAGATACAGATAATTTCCAGGAATTGAGTTGGTCTTACGTTTAGTCCTACATCAGACTAACAAGGCATGGTGTTTACTTCTTTTCTCATAAAATACATAAGAACCAGAAAACTTTCCTAAAAGGTGGGGACTTATTTTCAGCTAAAGCAAAAGGATAAAGCATCTCTTGATAGGTAGCCATACTTTAATAGTATGGTTTGCAACAGAAAATTGCTCTTCAATTAATGTGGGCTTGAGCAAGTCATATAACTTTTTAAACTTAACTCATCTATGAAATGGATATTACATAGAGTGGAATAGCTAAACTGTGAGACCAACCTAGATGCCCTTCAATAGATGAATAAATTTTAAAAAGTGACATATGTACACAATGGAATATTACTCAGCAATAAAAGAGAATAAAATCATGGCATTTGCAGGTAAATGGATGGCGTTGGAGAAGATAATGCTAAGTGAAGTTAACCAATCCCCAAAAAACAAATGCTGAATGTTTTCTCTGATATAACATGACTGACTCATAGTGGGGTAGGGAGGGGGAGCATGGGAGGAATAGGCGAACTCTAGATAGGGCAGGGGGGTGGGAGGGGAATGGGGGGTAGGGGGTTTGCAATGATGGTGGAATGTGATGGACATCATTATCCAAAGTACATGTATGAAGACATGAATTGGTGTGAACATACTTTATATACAGAGATATAAAACATTGTGCTCTATATGTATAAAGAGAATTGTAATGCATTCCTCTGTCATGTATTTAAAAAATAAAATCAATTAAAAAGTAAATAAGAGATAATATCTTAATTATTATCAGAGTATCTAATACATAGATAACATTTAATATATAGATGCTATTATGATATTATTATTTGTTTGGACCAGGCTGTTCTAGGACTCTGGCTTTATTTTATTTATTTATCTATCTTATATCTTTTGTTATATTTTTAAACATTATTATTGACACATAATTTGTATATGATAAAATTCACCCATTAAAAGTTTATAGTTCCACAGTAAGTTCAGGAGTTGTGCAATCATCACCTTGATCTGAGTCTAAGACATTTTCATCACCCCCCCCAAAACCTTAAACATATTAGCTGTCACTCATTATGCTCTCCCCACAATTTCCTACATCCCCAGGCAACTACTAATCTATTTCCTATGGATTTGCCTACTGGACATTTCATATAAATATGTGATTATACAATACGTGGTCTTTTGTGATTGGTCTCATTCACTTAGTGCGTTTTTAAGGTCCATCTATGTTGTATACTTTATTTCCTTTACTGCCATGTATTGCTGAAACTGTACCATATTTTATTTTTCTAATCAATGCATGAACTTTGGGCTATCTCTACTTTATGGTTATTATAAGTAATGTTGCAATAAGCATTCATACAAGTTTGTGGATATGTTTTTATTTCTGAAGAAATGGAAATGCTAGGTCATATGATAACCCATGTTTAACAAGTCCAGGAACTCCCAAACTGCTTTTTTTTTTCTTTTTTCAGTATAGATATCCTTCTAGCAATGAGGGAGAATTCCAATTTCTCTATATATCCTCACCAACATTATTGTTATTTTCCATTTTTAAAATTAAAACCATCCTAGAGGGTCTGAAGTGGTATCTCACTGTGGTTTTGCATTTTTGTTTTGCATTTTCTAATGATTAATGAAGTTGACATCTTTTCATGTGCTTGTGGCCATTTGACTACCTTTTTTGGAGAAATAGCTGTTCAAATTCTTTGCCCATTTTATGGTCCAGTTAATTTTTTTTTTTTTGTCATTGAGTTGCAAGAGTTGTTTCTATATTCTGGATATGAGTCCCTAAACATATATATGACTCACAAATATTTTCAATGCATTCTGCAGGTTGTCTTGATATTATTTTTATTATGATAAACCCAAAGTGTCTCATCCTTCTGTGTTTAATTCTTCCATGCCCTTGTAAATGATGTGTACAACCTCTCTTTCCAGCCTCTGTTTCTCTACCTTGCTCTCCAGTCTGTCCATGAGCCCCTTCAGGTGCCTGAAGAATACCTGAAGCCATATGACTTTATCCAGAATAAGAACAGGCATCACTATGCAGGAATGGTGTCCCTTATGGATGAAGCAGTAGGAAATGTCACTGCAGCCTTAAAAAACCACGGACTCTGGAACAACACAGTGTTCATCTTTTCCACGGGTAAGTCTGTCAATAGGAAACTCATCTCTCGGCAAAGCCTAGGACATGGTGTTCGATAAGTGGAATGAAGACAGATGGGAGCAGTTAGCATTTCCTTATTAAAACAAATTCTAACTGCAGTAGGGGAGACATGGTCATAATGGATAGAAAGATGTGTCTAAGGAAAAAGAATTACGGGCTTGTGCTCCTTTCCTTCAGCTGTTAAAATATTCTGGGAGTATGTTCAGAAACAAGTGCTCGCTGACCGAGTAAATGATGGACATCGCTGATGCCCAGGGCGGCTGGGTGGCGAGTCCCTGTAGTGGTCTGTTCTTACCTCACTGCAGCCAGGCCGTCTATGACTGTGACTGTGACTGACTGGAGGGGACTTTGTATCAGTGCAAAGAGACAGATTGTGACATGGAGACAGATGAGAAATGGAGCCAATTAAATTGAGGCTTGAATCCCCAAGTATAGATTTATTTTGTATTTGTTTTCTGACAATAAAAGTCATACATGTTGATTACAGAAAACAAAAGAAAGGAGAAAGAAAATTCGTGATCTCAGGACTCAGAGATAACTTTTGAAAATCATTTTCATTATGTCCATGACCTTTTGATTCCTAATCTGTTATGTATTTGATTTTTCCCCCTCTCATTGGACACAGTTATCTAAAATTTCACCACAATATGCTTTGGGTGTAGGTCTTTGTTTATTCATTGTGCTGTCTACTTGGAAAGTACTTTCTATCTGAAAATGCACAGCCTTTTCTAATGGGAAATTTTCTTATATTAATTATTTTGCAATTGTTTGACCCTTCACCTCACCTCTCCCCATCCTCTCTTTATAGAATTCCTGCTAATTAGATATTAGGTCAATCCTCTAGAGTTCTTAGTTTTTATTTCTGTTATCTTTTTATTTCTTCCACTGTTTGGAAAATTTCCTGATCAGTATACTTTTAATTGAATTTATTTTAACTGCTGTGTTTTTAATTACCAAGAGCTTTTTTGTTTTTGATAATTCCTTTTTTGTGAAGTTTTTTTTTATTTTATAGATATATATAGTATAGCATTTCCTTATATATGTGTGTGTGTGTGTGTGTGTGTGTGTGTATATATATATATATATATATATATATATATAAAATAATTTACTTCTCCAAAGCCAATGTATTACCATTATTTTCATGAGTATGTGTATGGAATATAATTTGCTCTACTCAGTTCCCAGTGCTTCCCCTTTCCCTCCCCTCTTCCCTCACTGTCTTCCATTCCTTCTACTCTACTGATCTTTCTGCTATTTACTTATAGGGTTTGTCTTTCTTTCTTTCTTTTCTTTTTTTTAGTTAGTGTCTTATGGATGTGCATGGTGAAATTCACTGCAGTATATTCATATATGTACATAGGGAAGTTAGGTCAGATTCATTCTGCTGTACTTCCCTTATTCCATCCATCCCTTTTCTCTCCCCATTAGTCCCCTTCATCTAGTCCACTCATGTTTCTTCTATTTTGATGGAATCCTCCCACCCCATTTCCTTCCCATCCACCCCCTCCTTAATTTGGACTAGCTTCTGCATATCAGAAAAAAAAATTGAACTTTGGCTTTCGGAGTCTGGCTTATTTCACTTAACATGATAGTCTCCAGTTTCATCCATTTACTGGCAAATGCCATAGTTTCATTCTTCTTTATGGCTGAATAATATTCCATTGTGTGCATATACCACATTTTCTTTATCCATTCATCTGTTGAAGGGCATCTTGGTTGGTTCCCTAGCTTGGCTATTGTGAATTGTGCTGCTATAAACATTGATGTAGCTGTATCTCTATAATACATTGATTTTAGATCTTTGGGATATATACTGAGGAGTGGGATAGCTGGCTCTTATGGTGGTTCCATTCCTAGTTTTTTTGAGAAATCTCTATACTGATTTCCAGAGTGGTTGATTTGTAGTCCCACCAACAATGACAGTATTGGAGATTGAACCCAGGTGTACCACTGAGCTACATACCCAGTTCTTTTTATGTTTTATTTTGAGATAGGGTCTCACCAAGTTGCTGAGGCTGGCTTTGAACTTGTGATCTTCCTGCACCAGCCTCCTGAGAAGTTAGGATCACAGACATGCACCATTATGTCCAACTTATATTTAATATTTTTAAAAGTTTGTTTATATTTCTCTCTTTCTCTCTCTCATAGAACTCTCTATGCTTTCTCTGTTTTAGTTTGCCTCTCATGAAAGTGGTTTTCTCAAATACCTAGTGATCCTGGCCTACTTAAAAATTTGACTGAAAATTCCAAGCATGAGGTCAGGGCTTATTAGCTGGTAAATTTTATTGGATGGTGACTGTGTAGGGATGAGGAGACATGTTGAGGAATCAACTTGGTATTCTACTCTAGTTTTCTAGGTTTTTTTTTTAATGAGTTGTTTTTCTTTGCTTTTAATTAGGCATGTTTTTTTTTTTTTAAATAGCATTAATTTAGTGCTTACTATGTTCAGGACCTGGTTCTAAGTGCTTTACCTGAATTAGTTCAACTAATCCTGTCAATAATCCATCCTCTGAGGGTTATTATAATTCCATCTTGCAAATGTAAGAACTGAAGAACAAAGAGGTTAAGTAACTTGCCCAAGTGATACAGCCAGGCAGAGCCAAGCTTCTGTGGTTCTGAGTTCATTGAAACATCCTGCCTTGGAGATGATGATCTTGATATTTTTATTGGACCTTCTGATATAGCAGAGCTTCCCCCATTGTGGCCTGCAATAGTGACCTCCTGTGGAGCTGGGCAGGGATAGGATGGTGTCCACTCTGAGCAGCCTTGTTCAGTTGCTCTAATGCCATCCAGACAGTATTATTTTCCAAGTGCTTCCTGGTTTGTTTTTTTTTAACAATAAAAGTTTCATTGTGTGTGTTTAAGGTATACAACATGATGTTATAGTATATATGTATATACCATATGTATACCATATATATGGTTATACAGTGGATGCTCCTTGTTTTGAAAAAGGTTGAATGTAAGATAAAATTTATCTTTTTCCCAAAACCTATCCTTCTGAAAAGAAGGAGGCATCTTATACTTAATTCCTTATAAGATCTTTCATAATCTGGTGTCCTTCTCAATTTACTTTATTTTGAAGAGCTTGCTATGTAGCATTTTGATCACATTGGTATTGAGTACCTATAGAAGTCTCTGGGAATAATCAGTAAAACAGAGACCTGAGAAATGATCTTACAATTGCAAAAATTGGAGGTCATGAATTTATAAAACAAGGTTTTGTTGTAGAGATCACCATTACACAATTTTAGGGACAAATAGTTTCCTGAAATGTAAATATGTATTGATTAATATATCACTTGTAGGCTGAAGTATCCTCAGAAATGAAGAAGGTAGCTCTGGAAGACAATGTTAAATATCTCCAAGTGGCTTTTGTAAAAATGGAGATATTGGTGTCAAGAATGCATGGGAAGATGTGGAATAAAATATTTTCATAGTATGTGGGAATGAAAAATATTTTAAGATCAATATTTCTTTTGTTACATGATTCCACGTACATATGCATAACTATTTTAAAACAGAGAGTTGACTGTTTTATAAACAACTCTAACATTTTATTTATTCAGGTTGTCAGAAGTAATATTTGAAGCTTCTCACTGAGAAAACAGGGATTACCTTATAATAGCATTGTCTTATATTCTGCCTGACACAATGATATATTAACAGATATGCTGGTCTGAGATCATCTTTGCTTTCTTGGGCTAAATTCAACTGGATCATGTCTATGTATTTTTATAATACTGCTAAGTTCAGTTTGCCATTGTTTATTTCGGGTTTGTCCATCAGTTCAGAAGTGCAAATGTGGTTGGTGATTATTCTCTGTCATGTTTTGTTGTGTTGATGAGAGTCACTTAATAAAATAATTTGAATGGGTTTTCCATCTTTTTCTATGCTCTGTAATAGTTTAGAATGTTTTTAAGATCTCTCTGGTAAAACTGATTTCTGGAACTGTCTTTGGTGGCATTTTAAAAAGTTATCTCCACAGTTAAAATTTTTTGCTTAAGTATATTTAGGTATGGGTCTTTAAGATACTTACAAAGTTAATTTTGCCTGAAATATAGTAAGTCCCTTGATCTGCATGCTGAGATCATTTTTCACTCTAGGAATTTTTCCATGTTCATATTTTAGCTTATTGCTTTTGTTCTGCTTGAATTATTTCTCAAAAATATCTTTAATTAGTGGGGTGAATGACTGATTTAGCTTTTTTTTTCTCTCTCTCTCTCATCCTTTTTAGCTTTTGTCCTTTTTCTCGGCCTTCCAGAGCTCTTCTGCAGTAGCAGTAAGACATTTTTGCAATTTTAATCCTGCTGTTTTTTTAGCTCCAATGTAAATTGTTAGGACTGTATTTTTGGTTTCTTTGCTGGCCTTCCTTTCTTTGCCTCAATCAGTTCCCTTTTCTTCTGAGTTTCTTAGAAATAAAATGACCCTTGTTCATCAAGTCCTGACAGCAGGGCCGGACCCTGCTCCTGTGTCCCCCCCACCCCCACCTTGGCACTGTTGCTCCTGCTGTAAGCATTAAAGTTCAAAATAAGCTTGTCAAATAGGTTTTCTGATCTGCATTTTACCAGAAGAAAGGAGAACCTTAAGAAGTTAAGTGATTTGCACATCTAACAAATGGAAGAGCCAGAATTCAAACCCAATCGACTTGAGGTCAGTACCTAATTATCCTAGTCAATTGTCTTTTTGCATCTCATCTCTTTTTCCTTTTATCTCAACCCAGGGTCCTTTAGCTCTACTTTTTATCTTTCTACACTCCTGTTCCCAGAAACCATTCTCTTCCTGAATCTTTCTAAACAGAATTTCTTCTAAGCTGTTCATTTTTATGCTAAGTCATTGCAGCTGTGCTCTTCCTCTGATAGAAGTGATGAAGGATCTGTCCACAGCCTCACTTATATTTGGCTGAGGGTCTGACTCTAAGGAAACGCCTCATTTGCATTTCTTTCTCCAGAGGCTTTATGTGTTTATTGACAATT